GGAGCTCTGGACATGGACGACTGTTTCTCGCCTCTCAAGAACAAGACCACGTGGACTCTCGCGAGAGAGCAGTGTCGCGAGGCCGGCGGTCGCATAGCAACGCCCAGCGACGCGCGAACGGAGCTCCATCTGCGCTATCACGTGCAAGACGGTAACGTTCCGGTGTTCGCGGCTGGTTTGCAACGTTCGTGGGGTTGTTCGTGTTGCAATGTTCAGGGTTGTTTACGTTAAAATTTCAGGATGCTTTTTCATGTTGAAATGTTTGCGGGGTTGTTCATGTTGAAAATTTAGGATGATTGTTTACATTGAAATGTTCTGAGGGTTGTTCATGTTGAAATATTCGTAGAGTTGTTCACGTTGAAGTGCTCGTAGAGTTGTTCACGTTGAAATGTTCGTACGTTGCCAGTAACCCTCCTGTGTTGCATGCCACCATCTGCATGCCAGTGACCCTTCACATCATTACATCATTTAAACTCATACAAGGTGCATGCCTTCAAGTACAGCATCTGAACCTTCACCAGCAACTCTCATGTGGCGCATGCAACCATCTGCATGCCCCAAGAAACCCTTTGCCAACAACCCTCATGTGGTGCATGCAACCATCTGCATGCCACGCAATCATCATTTACATCATTACATCATTTAAACTCATACAAAGTGCATGCTTTCAAGTACATCATCTACACCTTTGCCGGCAACTCTCATGTGGTGCATGCAACCATCTAAGCTCCTGACGAACTTGCAGGTGATCCTGGCACGTGGATTGGCCTTCTGTCCGAGCCGGGCCGTAACGGCAGCACCGGTTACTCGTGGGTCGACATGAGCGGTGGTTCGTCCGCAGTCCCCTTCCATAGGTAGGTTGAACATCATCATCATCATCATCATCATCATCATCATCATCATCAGCAGCAGCAGCAGTAGCAGCAGTAGTAGCATCATCATCATCATCATCATCATCAGCAGCAGCAGCAGCAGCAACAGCAGCAGCGACATCTTTATCATCATCACCTTTATAATAATCATCATCATCTTTATAATCATCATCACCATCATCGTCGTCGTCATCGTCGTAACATATTGATTTTGCCGTTATCATAGGTTTTCGAATTCAAGCTGGAGACGGACTCAGCTAGAGACGGACGTGTGTGCTTTGGTCCCTGCTTCTCCTATCGTCCCGTGGGAGTTTGCCGGGTCCTGTCTGAGCACGGATTATTACTACGCGTGCCAACACAGTGCCGTAAAACCTCCAGGTACGCATAGAAAGGGGACCTAAATTCAGTAGAGGTCCNACTGGTTTGCAACGTTCGTGGGGTTGTTCGTGTTGCAATGTTCAGGGTTGTTTACGTTAAAATTTCAGGATGCTTTTTCATGTTGAAATGTTTGCGGGGTTGTTCATGTTGAAAATTTAGGATGATTGTTTACATTGAAATGTTCTGAGGGTTGTTCATGTTGAAATATTCGTAGAGTTGTTCACGTTGAAGTGCTCGTAGAGTTGTTCACGTTGAAATGTCCGTACGTTGCCAGCAACCCTCCTGTGTTGCATGCCACTATCTGCATGCCAATAACCCTTCACATCATTACATTATTTAAACTCATACAAGGTGCATGCCTTCAAGTACAGCATCTGAACCTTCACCAGCAACTCTCATGTGGCGCATGCAACCATCTGCATGCCCCAAGGAACCCTTTGCCAACAACCCTCATGTGGTGCATGCAACCATCTGCATGCCATGCAATCATCCTTTACATCATTACATCATTTAAACTCATACAAAGTGCATGCTTTCAAGTACATCATCTACACCTTTGCCGGCAACTCTCTTGTGGTGCATGCAACCATCTAAGCTCCTGACGAACTTGCAGGTGATCCTGGCACGTGGATTGGCCTTCTGTCCGAGCCGGGCCGTAACGGCAGCACCGGTTACTCGTGGGTCGACATGAGCGGTGGTTCGTCCGCAGTCCCCTTCCATAGGTAGGTTGAAAATCATCATCATCATCAGCAGCAGCAGCAGCAGCAGCAGCGACATCTTTATCATCATCACCTTTATAATAATCATCATCATCTTTATAATCATCATCACCATCATCGTCGTCGTCATCGTCGTAACATATTGATTTTGCCGTTATCATAGGTTTTCGAATTCGATCATTGAAGACCAGCTAGAGACGGACGTGTGTGCTTTCGTCTCTGCTTCTCCTATCGTCCCGTGGGAGTTCGCCGGGTCTTGTCTGAGCACGGATTATTACTACGCGTGCCAACACAGTGCCGTAAAACCTCCAGGTACGCATAGAAAGGGGACCTAAATTCAGTAGAGGTCCAAAAAACTGGCATACGTGGACGATCACATAGATGTAGAAATAAAAATTAATGAAACAAGTTATTTGTAACGAAAGTTGTAATATTATTTAATGAGTTTATTATTATAAAAAATAAGTTTTTGAAAATAAATTTACATTTATTAAATACGTGATATATGAAATAAATATAACATATAATATATATAGACATGTATATCATATGTATAATATAATATGAAATATTAACGGTGGTACTGACCTCGTCCCCGCTCCTGACATTCGGGGCGTGTTTGCAGATGCGCTCTTGCATCTGTACGTCGACATGGGGTCACCGACGCCGTCCGCTGCTGCCGACGCACCAATAGTTCACATCACCGCACGCGATTTCATGCATGAGTCTATCGAAATCTCTCCTCGCATTACCTGCTCCTTCCGGCACGCCCACCGCGAGTTTCCGATCAAGTGGGTAAAGGACGGGTTGGAGATTGATCAGCCGAATCCGCCGCCAGGCGTCACTGTGGTGTCCGAAGCTCTTCTGTCCATCGTCAGGACCAACAAGTTAGTATGTTGGAGAATTTCGCAGAAAGGTGGCTCTAGCGGCGTTCTGAGCATTCCCGAGAGTAAAGGATTCTGTAATAAATTCTTATCAGTAGACCCGTGTGTATAATTAGGAGAGCGCCCTAGCCAGTAGGATGCAAAACTACTACTTCATTCAAGCCCGTACTTCCCCTTGTCTCCCTTGTCGCACGCTCAGCCTACTTCTTCTTCCACCGCGCCTCGGCTGTCTTCCCTGCCACCTTCCGTCAGTCTCCCATCCCTCTCCTCGCAGCAAGCTATATTACGTATTTTTATTTAGGCCGTACTTCACGAGTGAAACGATGCTCGCGCATGCGCAATATCTCCCAAGAATAATAATTTTTTTTTCAAAATTATGAATTTAAAATGACGAGGGGTTATCCCAGCATAGATTTCTATGATAATATTCCATCAGTAGACCTCACTTATGAAATAGTAAGCATACCTTGAATGTAAGGTCCCGGCTGCATATACCAGTCAGTACAAAATCTGGCTACGTTACTGTTTTAGCGCATGCGGAATATCTCACGAGAGGAGTTATATTTTGTGTTGAAAATGCATTTAATATGGTCAGGGGGTATCTCAGCATAGGTTTCTGTAATAAATTTGTATCAATAGACCTATGTGTATAATTAGGAGAGCGCCCAAGGCTGGAGAGAATGGTGTGAGACTGACGAATTGCGGCAGACAATTTTTTATTTTTATTTTTCTTATTTGATTTATTTATTTATTAATTTAAAGACGGTACATTTGTAACAGATATGTCAACATGAGCTTGCAAGCTCCTCACCGTCTGTGCAGTAAAATGATACAATTCTTAATTAAAAGTGCTAGTCTAACAACGTAACAAGCAACGGTACCAGGGCAGCTAGCCTAGGTAATCCTTACTAAAATTAAATAAAAAAAGGAAAATAGTTGAGGGGCGGTTGAGGTTAGCAAAATATTCTTATTCTCGGGAGATATGGCATATAGG